TTTTTTTTTTTTTTTTTTGGAATGCATATAATATATTACTTCAAATCTATATCTATATATATATTAAAAGCCAATCTATTTACCAAAAACAGTAGCAAAAAAAGTCAACACACATTTAATGCATACTTTATTTAGAAATTTTTTACTATATGCGTTAAATGCTTGCATATTTACATTTACTATCCAAATATGATCTTCAAGATTTTTTCCTTAAATAATTTATGCAATGATTTTACTGATATCCATTATAATTAATATTTGTCGAGTAATATTTTTTAACCTTTATTTAATTATATAACACTAATATTTTTTTAAAAAAATTAATATTATATATTATTTAAAAGTTAATGATCACATCATTAAATAATTTTATTGATGTTTAGATAATAAAATTATAGTTATTCTTTAAAATTTCGACATGTTATTTATTTGTATATTATTGTCAACTATGATAGTGTTTTTATCACTTTTTTTGTTATGTTTAAAAAATGAACTTATTGTAAAATATTTTTCTATTGCATAGTATGTTAAATAAACTATAAACCATTAGGATGAAAATTAGAAAAAATTTCTTGATTATGTAAGGGATTTATTTTTTTGCAATTGCTAAATCATTTTTTTTTTTAAATAAAAGAATTATTATGAGAAAATTGAATTTTAAAAAACATGTGTGTGTATTTTGTAAACATTTATACTCAAAATTTTATTTTGAATTTCATTACATAAAGAAGACTACTTCTATAACTTTTATAAATAATAATAATTACATTATATGACTGTAAATTTTATAATAAAATAATAATTGAGTATTATATGGTGAACAATAATTAATAAAATTTTTATTTTTTCCTATATCAATGAATAAATATGTATTCTATAATCAAATAAATATTAGTATGACGTGTTAACGGAAATATATATTAATTAACATGTTAATTTTTTGGCTTAAATAAACACCACTTATTAAAAGATGTGAAATATGGATGATCCAAGCCTATTGTTTTTTTGTCTAGACGTACAAGTCCTATAGAAATAATTGATTTATTATATGTATCACGTGCATCGCACGGGATATGCACTAATAAATGACCTTAAAACTGTGCACCTCGTGCATCACCCGTGTTCACATTTTGGCCTATTACAGGCCACGTACTATATATATCTCGTACATTTTTTTA